AAATGATTTGAATCAAGTTGGGAATGCTATAAAGTCATTCATTCATCCAAATAGCACTAATTCATGACAGTTTATCTTCACGTTGATCTGGAGGAAATCTGCCCAATAGTCTGGGCTGATGCTGAAGAATCATTAGGCTATGTGATCGCAGCAGGAAAGACAGAGACACAGACACATAGACATGCTCACACATACTAATGCATCAGCAGCGAGAAGCAATCCTGGGATGAAGTCTCTGGGGGTGTGCTTTTTCAGAGTGTACCCATTGCAGCCATGGAAAATGGCAGGCCGTCTCCTGGAAACTCACTTGCTTGTTGTAGCCTTTCCTGGTTGGTTGCTGATAGGTTTACAGCAGCAGAGCGGCCTGCACTACCTCAGTGTGTTGGGTTCATGCTATTGTGGTTTTCAGCTCTGTTGCTCCACTGACTCAACCACAGTCACAGGCAGGGACCTAACCTCAGCTGCCCAGTGGTTGAGCTGGGGTAGCATGGGGGTGGGGGACTGGAAAATTCTCCCTTTTGTGCTGAGTGGAGTTGCACATCACAGGCAGCTTATCTAAAAGAAGGAAGCATTGCCCTAACTTGGGTGACAGGACTCTGATTCTGATCGAAGAATGTTCTTCTCAAGGAGGGGAGAAAGGAACAGAACCAAGTCTTTTGGCAACTTGGGCTCTCAAAGTGTTTCTGGTCTCTGTCACCCTGTGCTTCCTGTCACCCTGTGAGTTAGACACTAGCTTTCCAGGAAGCTCCTTTACCATTAAAGATAGCCACTCTGCCAACGGAGTCATACCTCCGGCTCTGTCCGTGACTCATTAGACAATGTTTTTGTTACATTAATGGATTGATTGATTTTCTGTCAGGGCACGAGTGTGGAGGTCAGAGGATGATTTGCAGGAATCAGTTCTCTTTTTACATGCGTATGGGCCCACAGAATCTAACTCAGTTCATTAGGCACAGAGGCAAGCCCCTTTAGCCCTTGAGCCGTCTTGTCAGGTCCATCAGTGAGTTTTTAAAGAGCTAATCCTAGACTCATGAAACCTGGAGGGGAAAACCTCCTTAAATCTCGGTGCCTAAGAACACATAGGCAGAGACCAGAAGAAAAAGAATTGCAAGCCCCATAGCGAATGTTCTTAGGAACAGTGTGCAGAGTGTGGCCAGAACCAGGAAGAGGAGGACGAGGAGCCAGAGATACAAATGTTAAGGAGGCTCTCTCTCAAGGTGGTGTGAGTGCAAGGTCAGCTCTTTAAAGTCACGGATAGAGCTGGGGGTGTCAAGAAGCATTTCGGATCATCCTCTGCTACATAGTGACTCTGAGACCAACAGAGCCTCAAAAGTCAGTGACAAAGGACAAGGCAACTGCCTCTAAGTGAGTGTTCTGTGCCGGTGGAGCGCTCTTCATGAGCTTTCCACCCTCCATGGGGACAATGGCATTCTCTACATGGTGGCTCTGTCACTACCCTGCACATTGTGGCTACTACAGGGTCAAGGGTGGGTGCCGCCCACAAGGAGGAGAAGGAAGACTAGGGAGGATGTGCCAGCTGACTTCACACCTCAGCCTGAGGTTTGATGCCTTCCCGGCCACTGCTGAGAAGGCAGTACCCAGCTGGCTTTTGGTCTCTGTCACACATGAAGCTGGGAAGTGACTCATGGGGTAAGGGTGGGGCAGCCATGTGACTACAGAAGCAGGGAGAAGGGTCACTGGTGGACAGCTAGCAAATCCTACCAAGTGACTGCCCCCACACAAGCCTAATTTCCAGCAGGTTCTATTCTAAATGATATTGAAGGTTGTTGAATAAGTACCCTGGGGTCTCAGGGAAAAGGAGATACTGCAGCAGCTGAGGAGGCAGAGGGAAGAAGGGAATGTTGTCCGAGAGGAGCTACAGACCATCCCATGCTGCTAGGAAAAGGCCAGAGAACAGCCTGGCATCCTTTTATGGGGCAGGGAAGACATGTGCTAATTTCAGGGCAGGAGGCTCACTGAAGCCCGTCGTGAAGGGTGGTAGATTGCTCAGCCAGTTGTGTGGGATTTTGTCCTAATTGCACATGGCCTCGTAGAGTACAGAGTGGGAAACTGGCCGAAGAGGGGAGGACCCTTAACAGGGCCGCTATGGGAAAGTCATTATCTGTGGTGAGGTGAGACTTTCTGGTGGTGTGGCTGTTGGTGTCCTAGACTTCTGTAAATAACCCCTCACCCATTGTGCTGGTTAGCTTTTGTCAACTTGACACAAGCTAGGGTCACCTGGGAAGAGGACACCTCAGCTGAGAAACTGCTTCTGTTAGATTAGGCCTATAAGCAAGTCTGTGGAGCCTTTTCTTGATTGGTGATTGACGAGGGAGGGCCCAGCCCACTGCGGACAGTGCTATTCCTGGGAAATGTAAGAAAGTGGGCTGAGCAAGCTACCCAGAGCCAGCCAGTAAGAAGTGCTGCTTCTTGGCCTCTGCTTCTTAGTTGTTGCCTTGAATTCCTTCCCTGATTTCCCTCAGTTATGGACTGTAGAGGTAAAGGCCCAGTAAACCCTTTCCTCCCCAGGTTGCCTTTGGCCGTAATGTTTTAGCACAGTAATAGAAAAGCAAACTAAGACATCCTTGTTCTAAAGGTGAGATCAATAAACCCATTTGTTCCCCAAGTTGTACTTGATGGAATGCACTTTGGTTTATCATTGGTGCCTTTTGGGGAGGTGGCATTCGTCACCACACCTGTGGATCTAACAAGGCCAGCACAGCACCAAAGACTCACTCCTGCCATCTCCTTAAAGCTCACAGCCGGCTGGTAGGGAGGGCTAGTACGCCATCCCCAGTTGCAGAAGAAAAGACTAGGGGTCTTATGGGACCAACTAACTCCCACATTTGTTTAAACGTTCCTGCAACATCTTGTTTCAAAATAGGCAAGCTGCCGGGCTGTGGTGGTGCACACCTTTAATCCCAGCACTTGGGAGGCAGAGGCAGGTGGATTTCTGAGTTCGAGGCCAGCCTGGTCTACAGAGTGAGTTCCAGGACAGCCAGGGCTATACAGAAAAACTCTGTCTCAAACAAACAAACAAACAAACAAACAAAAATAGGCAAGCAAACAAAGAAATAAACAACCCACCACAATAAGGATGCTCACAAGACTATGGCTGATAAAAAAGCATAATAATATGAATCTGATAGGCTCTTATGAGGCTCCCATAGAGCAGCAAAGAGCCTTGGGTCCAGCACGGTGATGCAGACAAGGGTGGCTACCCTATGTTCCAGAGTAAAACTGTATTGGAACCATACACATTTAACCTCGATGGCTTTAGCTAAAACAGAGACTGGCTGGAAGCATGCACTATATGAACCTATTAGAAGTGTGACCATCCGGTCCCTCCAGAGGCCTTATTAGCACTGTGACTGTGAGGGTAACTTTGCTTCCTGGGCACCACCCTGTTCACCAGGTGGTAAGAATCCGCTTCAATTTTAAGACGTTTGCAGGAGTCAGTGTAACTGCCAGTAAAACTGCTTCACAGACAGTGCAAAGTAGCCATTATTTCGTCTCTCTGCTGAGCGTCCGGTTCTCTATAGAATGGATAACAACACAATGTCTGTCTTCTGGTATTGTTGTAAGGATCTGCTAAGAGAAATGATTAAAAAACAAAATTTGGAATTAAACAGGGAGATACCGTCTTGCTGTATAGTTAATCACCGGCTGTGTAGTTAGTTGGTCCCATAAGACCTCTAGTCTTTTCTTCTGCAACTGGGGATCTCATACTAGCCCTCCCTAGCAGCCTGCTGTGATCTTTAAGGGAGATGGCAGGAGTGAGTCCTTGGCGCTGTGCCCGGCCTTGTTAGATCCGCAGGTGCGGTGACGAACGCCACCTCCCACAGATCCCTACCAACAGCACAGCTGAGCTGTACCCCTTCTGCCTCTGCTCAGCGCCCACGGTCAGCCCTGGGTGCCGGTATAATTAGCTCCATCTCCGTAGTGAGCAGCCGCGGCTGCTCATAGCCTCTGACACGACTGTCACCTCCCACTCAGTTCCCTAAATCAGCTATTCCCATCCTTGAGTCGATCAGGTGAACGTCACCAGAGGACAGCTTGCTCCTTACAACAATGTGTCGCAAGGACCCACAGCGCGCCCCCTCCCCGCCCCTCCAACCTCCTTCACCCTAAGGCTGTGTGCAGAAATAAAAGAAAAAAAAAGTTTGGGTGGGGAACAGCCTCTAGTGTCTGCCGGGAAATCACGTTCCTTCAGACCCAATAGCCTGCAGAAGAAAGGTAGTCTGTCTCTTTAAGAGGCCTCCGCGGAGGGGAGGGGCCAGCCGGCGTCGCTCTAGCCCGCGCCCTCAGTTAGGCCCGCCTCCTCTTTAGTGACAGACAAACAACCCAGTGAAAACGAGAATTTTCGGCTTGACAGTAAAACGGAGCAATAGAAGCCCGGGCCGGTCTGCGTGGGGCGGGGCTTCAGGAGGGCGGGGCAGACGGGGCCAGAGGAGAGGCGGCGGGACGCGGGCGCGGAGCTGGGCCTCGGCGGTCGCCGGGTGAGTGAGGGACGCACGGGGCTCGAGGCAGAGGGACAGAGTGTTGAGGGTGGGGGACCGGGGACCGAGGTTGGGGTTGAGGCGGAGGGCAGCGTCTGCCCGACCTACAAGCCCGGACACGGTGCTGATCCGGTAATCCCCCTGCCGTCGTTACCGGCCCTCTTTCCTTCTCCACTGCCCGGCTTCGATCCAGGCCGCTCTTCCCGCAGCACTGCAATGCCCGGGGTGCTCCGGTGCTGGTCTCCACCCTCCCCTCTTCTCCGGGCCCTGCAGATCTGGTCCTTCGCCGCCCACCCTGGGCTTAGGCTGCGCCCCGGCCTGGTTCTGTTCCTTCTCCATCCCTCGCTCTGGCCACCCTCAGAGTCAGGCCCTCGGTCTAGTCTAGTAAACTTTTTTCATCCCCCAGTGTTCCTTCCGAAGGCTTCCGGGGTCCCGAGTTCTGACCCTGGTCCCAGAGTTCCGAACACTCTGGTGTTCCTACACATCGGTAGCTTTGCAGCCGTTTGAAAGTGTTGATTGACGTCTGCCTGTCCCAGCAGGTAGGAATGCCCACAAGGAAGAAGACCTTACCTGATGTTGCTCCCTGCACCCACAGTGTCTCCTCAGGGCAGGCACTATAAACGTTTACTAAATGAATGAACGAAGATCTTGGGTTTGTCCAGAGGAAAGAGATGCAGCCCCAGCCCCTGACATGTCATCTGTTGGGGATGGAAGCCACCTTTTGGAATGCTTCCTGTGTGTCAGGCACTAGGCCAGCCTGGGCCCTCCAAAGGAGAAACAATGCAAGTCACATTTGTTAAGTAAACTTTTCTAACAGTCACATCTCAGGAATGTAAAATACGCAAGGGGAATAATTTATTCATGCTTTAGTTAATACATTTCAGAATATAATTAATAATCCACATAACCAATGTAAAATCGTGTGAATGGAGTTGTTGACTTTTTTTATTTTTTTTTGGTGCTAACTTCTTGAACTCTGGTGTGCTTCGCACTTGGGACAGCCCTTCTTGCGTCACAGAAAGGCACACAGCAGCCATCTGTCAAGTGGTCGGTCAGTAACCACACGGCTAGGGTGTCACATGGCTGCCCTGGCTGCAAAGTGCTCCGTAGTGTGCATATGTGAGGGTTTAATTTGAGTTACAGTCTTTTGAGGAGACTCGTTATTTGCATTTACAGATTAAAAATAGTAAAGTACCTGAAAGATTTTACCTGCCCAGATTCATTCTACCGTTTGGAGCAAAGGAGACAGGGCTAGGGCCTCTGTCTGTTGTTCTTTTTTTTGGAGGGAGTGGTTCTAGAAAGGGTTTCTCTGTGTAGCCCTGGCTGTCCTGGAACTTTGTAGACCAGGCTAGCCACTGATGAAGTGTGTGCTCCACCGTGCCCTGCTTGTCTGCTGCTCTGAGTCTGGTTATTCTTTTTATGTTTTGTGCTGCTTCTAAGAGGTGCCAAGAAAGTTTGGGGTACAGGGTATGAAGACTAGACTTCTTAAAAATGATGCTACCAGTATTAAGCATATTCTAGCATGCTCTGTGCCCAGGTCATGTCTTTCTAGGTGGCTCACAAGCAAACATAGTTAAGAAAAACCTACCGTGGGTTTGGAGGTGTGCACCTTTAACCAGAGCACTATAGAGGCTAGGGCAGAAGGGTCCCCTGAATGCAGGAGTTCAAAACCAGCCTGGGCAGTGGAATATGACCCCAACTCAAAAAGAAAAACCCACAAGGCGAGTCCTCCTCTGACCAAGTCACCGGTGATCCCTTAGCTTACCTGCATTAATGCAGCCTAGTCTCAGGGTTGGAGCAGAAAACCCATGGCCTGGAAGAGCTCAGAGATGCCGGGGATACTGGACCTGGAGTTGCCATCAGGGTGAGTTAATTCCTTAGTTGCTCACTGAGTGTTCTCTATGAGGCCGGTACTGTTCTAGGCCCCTTGAGGTGATTGGACAGTGAAGTGACAGCTTTCATCTTCCGGATGCCCAGGGTGGTCTCAGAAAGACAAGATTGTGTCCCATAAGATGAGTGTCTGTGTGGGAGAGCACATGGCAGGAGAGGACGCAGAATCCCTTGTGTGTCACAAGTTGCCAAGTGGTGTTTTGGCCCAGCTGCATGAAGAATCCATCTCCCCTGTCCCCAAAACCAACCATGCAAGGTTGCGCTTCTGAGCTTGATGGGTCCCTGTGTGTAAGCTGCTTGGTTTATTTACTTACCTGCCTGGCTGCTTAAGGCTCTTGAATTCCTCACCCCTCTGGGAGTGCTCACAGAATTGGAGTGGCTAGGGCCTATTGGCTGAGAAGCCATTATGTACAGTCATTGTGCTGGGCTGCTATGGAGCCAGAACAGGGTCTCCTGGGCAGAGTAGCAACACCACCACTTTTCCTGTGGGTTTTCCTCCCCGCTTGCCATCACACCTGTTCACCGCAGCGTGGCAGGTAGGGCTCCTCAGTGCTGGGCTGTGTGCTTCCAGCGTTTGTAGGTTCTTCAGTTCACACTGTTAGAATCCTCCTTACTTTGTGCTAGGTATTGTACGAAGTGCTTTGCAGGCATTTTCCCATTTCGTGGTCACATAGCTTTTACAAGGAGCGGTTGGTTCTAATCTCTGGCTTGACTCTAATAAGGAGGTTGTCAGAACTGGGATCCAAATGCAGGCCTGGCCCCTCCAGGATGCAAGCCCCTAACTACCCAGTGCCACCGCTGTGTGACGGGGTCAGGGTTGGAAATCAGTCCGTTTCCTGCCTCCACATCCAGGCCAGAGATACTTGTGCTTGCAACAGAGCTGTGTGGCGGGAGAAGACAGATCCAGAAGTGGAGGCTGGGCCTTTTGTTGTCCCTAACTGAGGTCCCAGCCTGACCTTGCCAGTTCCTCTGGACCTCAGTTCCCTTCTTTTATGAAATGAGAGGAAAGACTTAGCCTCATTCTTACAGAACAATGCTGTGTTGTTGTGGCCTCTATTGAAGGAGTTGGGCCCGTAGCCTGGAGTTCTAGGGACAGCCCAGCCACTCTTAGCCTGTTGCGTCCCACCCTGTCCAGGCTCTTCCTCCTTGTGTGACCATCCTGATCTGTTGGTGAGAAAGAGTTAAATTTTTAATTTATTTTTATTTTGTGTGTACGAGTGTTTTGCTTGCCTGCAGGTATGTATGCATACCATATGCATGTCTTGTGGAAGCCAGAATAGGGTGTCAGATCCCCTAGAACTAAAGTTACAGACTTGTTAGCTGTCACGTGGGTGTTGGGAATTGAACCAAAGTCCAGTGTAAGAGCGGCCACTGCTCTCAACCACTGAGGGATCCTTCCAGGCCCAAGAAATAGTTTCTTAGAATTCATCTGTATTTTCTGTCTGTTTCTGTTCCCCCTTAAATCTGATCCTTTGTGAATCAGTTGCATAATTATAGTCAGGGATGTGCAAGTTCTGGGATGTAGACAGTATAGTCACTAATGGTTCATGACTTAAACAGTTAGGCCTGAGGGCATTTTGGATGGAATTCTGTAGACGCAGCTCTGTGCTGGCCATTGTACTGCAAACTACAGGCCAGTAGGTAGGGAGTAGGTATACTATTCAGAGGCTCTGTGCTCTGGCTATTTCTCTTCCTGTACCAGGGTCTCCATCTCAGCCTCCAGTAAGATCATTTGGGGAGGCTTCAGCAGCCCAGCTAGCTACGAGGGTATACACATGAAGATATACCCTACAGGGATATACCGTGGAGAACCATTGATCCAGAGCAGTGATTCTCAGCCTTGCTGATGCTGTGACCCTGTAATATAGTTCCTCGTGTTGCTGTGACCCCCAGCCATACAAATATTTTCATATTCATATTCACCACTAATTTTGCTACTGTTATGAATCATAATGTAAATGTTTGATGGTCTTAGGTGACCCCTGTGAAAGTGTCATTCAAGACCCTCAAAGGGGTCATGACCCACAGGTTCAGAACCACTGATCTAGAGCCTTCTTCATGACCCCGTGGTGCATGTGAACTACCCTGGGTGGCATGTGAAGGTAGGTCCTGATCCAGAGGATGTGGGCTGCAGGGGTACTTCCCCATTAGTACTGACTCCTGGGTACCTCGTGTGTCCAGTTATCAGGCAGGAGGCTGGAGGCTTCAGAGTCAAGACCGTGAAAGCTGGAGGTGTGAAGGCGCTCATCAAGGCCTGGCTGCACATGTGCTGGCATCACCAGTGCCTGATGATTGAGGATGAGGAAGCCAGAGGGGAGGGCTTGTCTGAGCGTGTACTAGTTGGCCCTTTGGATAGGGCGTTGGAACTGGGGGACAGCAACGGTGCAGAGTCAGCGTGGTTTTCAAGGGGGCAGGTGAGCAATATGCTATCCTGATAAGACCATTAACCCACTGTTCTCTAAGAACTTGAGTTCTACAAGGTAGCTGCAGGATGGGTGAGTTCATTAATGCATACTCTGTCTCTGCATAGTGGCTCTCAGCCATACTTGTGTGAGGCCTGTGTTCAAATGTCAGTGCAGAGGAGATCTTTCAGCTCCTGCTGTCTGTTGTCCTCAACTTCTATCCCGTGGCATTTCCTCTCCCGCACCTCTTCTACACCTCAGGGCCTCACGCTAGTTCAGGAAGGGTGAACTGAGGGAAACTGAGTCATTCCTCAGATGAGAAGATCACAGGGGGAAGCCTCCACTGAGATTGAGATCTTAATTAAAAAGAGGGTGTGACCTCCAGTTACCTCCTCCGTGAGGCAGCACTCTGTCACAGGAAGCATAAACTTACCAGGCTTCCCCCACTGCGTGGCAAGCAGAGCAGAAGAGAAAGCACACAGGGGTCCTCTGAGCTGGGGGCGGGGGAGCTGGGAGCCTTCTGGCATCCTCTATCCCCTGTGCCTCCTGGGAAGGATTGTCTTTCCCTTCCTAAGCTGGGCTCCAGTTCTGCTGGCAAGTTCAGCCTGAAGCTTCCCTGCTGGGGTGATGGACAAAACTCCACAGGACCTTCCCTGATGATGCACCCCTTCCCTGGCGAGCACACACTGCCACTGTTCTGCTTCTCCGGCTGTGTCATTGGAGGACAGCATTAGTACTGCTCTTGCGTGGCTCTTCAATGGATATGGGGCTCTCTTCTGCTTGCCTGGTCATCTTTGTATTTGTGGTGCCTTCAAGGTGGCTGCAGGGGACTGGGGTCTTACCCAGCCCCAACAGGGGGTGGTGGTGGAAGAGGAAGAGGAGGAGGAAGAGGAAGAAGAGGAGCAGGAGGAGAAGGAGGAGGAGGAGAGGGATTGGGGTTGGAAGGGGCTGTGGGCTGGGAGTGGGACTCCAGTGCACTCATGCTGGATGATTGCTGTTGGACTGAGTACAGTCCTGTGAATGGTGGAGCTGGTGGCTATTTATAGCCCTGAGAATTTTGCAATGTTACTGAATTGCTTCGACCTAATTTCCCACTTCCTTTCTAAGATGAAAACGGAGAGTAAGCAGACACATACTAGAGGGCTTCCCTAGGAGGGGATCCTTCGTCCCAGAGCACTCACTGGCTGGGAAGTCCTGCTCCTCCCTCCTTGGTTTCCAGGGGAGGGAGAAGATGTTGTTTCCCCCTAACTAGATTCTCCAGTAAGGCTTGCTCTGAGTTAGTCCTGAAAGCAGAATTGTGTGGGGACGCTGTGTTTCAAGGCTTCCGGACCTGGTGGGAACAGTTCCTGGCTCCCCCCTGTTGGAAGCCAGCTCTGCTTTGTAGGAATGGAAGAAGCCAGAGCCATGGGGTTTCAGTGCACAGGTCCTTTTCTGCAGGAGGATGTAGTGAAGGCGTCTGTGATTCCGTAACTACGTTAGACATATGACAGAATGTGGGAACGGGGTATGCATGTGGAAGAGTGATGCCAACCGGAGGTGAGGTCTGCTGGGCGGTGACGCCTGAGTAGGACCTTTCTGACAGCTGGTAACAGGGACTTTGCAAAGCTCTAGAGAAATGAAGGAACTTGGCCTCAGACAGCCAGGCAGGGTCTGCCTAAAGTGGCCTGAGCACCGCCTGTGGGGAGTGTGGGCGGCCTTCTGTACTCCATGGAGGGCCATTTTCTGTTAGATGTGTCTCTGAGCGTCTCTGGCTTTGCCTTGGAGATTACAGACCTCAAGTCTCCACTGATTAACTGTGATGGTCGTGGACCAGGCTGCCTTCTTTGATGTGGGTGACTGAGGACGCCCCGACTTCTCTTGTCTAGAGAGCATACACCTACAGGTTTGCTATGTGGGCCAGGCAGCACAGGCCTGACACCCCAGCAATTCAGGAGGCTGAAGCAGGAGGATTACAAGTTAGACCTGGGCAGCTTTTTGAAGCCCTTGCCTTAAAATAAAAATAAAATAAGTTGAAACAGAGGTGGTGGGGGGGTGTTGCGCTGTCCTAGCAAGCTCAGGGCCCTAGCTAGCTGAGAACCTCAGTTGTAAGTGAAGAGGACAGTGGGAGGAAGGCTCTGAGTGGTGCCTTCGAATGATGTCATTGCTAGAGACTGCTGTCCTCATCACAGGAAGGGCAGTGTGGAGGGAGACGGAGCTCTGGCATCACTGAGGCCCAGTTCTGCTGTAATGCACTTCTCTCTTGTCATCCTCACATCCACATGCCTCCGTCCTTCCCTTCCAGTCAGATGATGAGTTTCTCTGAGCTTTCACCTCCTTGCCTGTAAAAAAGGATGTTTTCAGGGTTCCTGAGGCATCGGCTATAAAATGACACAGGAGCAGTGAGTTAGAGACTCTGTTCACAAGCAACATGGCTGAAGACACCAGAGTCACCCTGTAAATGGCCTGCTGTAAGCAAACCAGTCTCCCCTAAGTGGGGTTTGCTCATGAATTTAGCCAGCGTTAGCTAAGTGCCCACTGGACACATCTGTCACCTCATGCCATGACAACACCATCTATTCTGGTCTCCATTGTAGTTTCTTAAGCTCGGGCTGGTCGGTCTTGGACTATTCCTTTGCAGGGAGCAGAAATGCTGGCTAGCAGGAAATGTCACGTGGACTCTGGAAAGGGGTCAGGCTCTGCCCATCTCTTGGGATTTTTCTCATTGCTGATTGCTTTCTCTGCGAGGCTCTTGGCTTTTTCCTGTAGTTTGGCTTGTGAGCAGCTCTGGGTTGCTCTGGTGTTCTTCTTGAAGCTATGACTTTACTGTTTTCATGTCTGTTGTCTCAAAGCCTCTTTAGTCAGTGTCTTTCAAGTTCAGAAATGGAATTAGATTTGTTCAAATAAACCCCAGTGTTCCCTTTCTTCCCTCTAGCTGTGGCAGCTGGCTGTCACTCAGCACCAGGCCTGTTGCTGCCCCTTGGGTGACTAGGGTGGCTGGAGAAGTTCCTGTCGTATGTGACATGGGTAGAGTGTTGAAGTGAATCATTCATAACGAGCTTTGATAACGATGTGATGACCTAGGGCACGTTATTTGGGACGAAAACAAAGTGACCATACTCAGCTCGGTCACCTTCAGAGGGAGTGCTCAGGGAGGAGCTCAGGAAACATGCTGTTTCCTAACGACAGAGCAAGGGTTAACTTCTTTGAGGACCTTTATAAATGTCATCCTCATTTGAGCATTTTTATGTTCTGCTTTGGAATCATGAACTTGCCGTTCAGAGGGCACCCAGAACACTTCAGGACTAGCACTTATGTTGCAAGAACAGAAGACAGAGACTTGGGTAAAGGAAGGACTCGGAGAATCCATGACAGTCAGTGGGCTCTCAGTCTACCTGATTTCTTCAGTGGGAACAGTGTCCTAGCCCGGAGCACTTTTCAAGGTGCCTGCTGTTCCCTGTATGCATGTGTGTGCATGCGCGTGCATGTATGCTTGCACCCTCTGAACCGTCTCCCCAGCCATCACTTACTTATTTTGAGAAGTTAAAAAACAAAAGAAAACAAAACAAAACCAAAAAACAACCCAGATTGACAAATGCTCTGGGCACTTCCATTTAGAGGAAGCACAAAAACAGGCCCAGCTCCTCAGTGGCAGTCAAGTCAGTAGGAATTAGGAGGAGGTGGGCGCATTGTGTGCAGTGGTGAGCGTGTTCCCGGTCCTGGGCGGAGGCTTAAGGGAGACGTGTGTTTCTGTTTTTATACTGTGTGTGTGTGTGCACATATGTGTAGATATGCTTACAGTCTGTGCGCTTCGTTGTAGATTAGTTCTTAGAAACTGCCTCACTGCTGGAGTCTTGTGTCCAGTGACAGCGATGCCCCATCTCGGATAGAGATACCCTGCTGTCAGGGTCACAGCACTGCCCTGGCATAGCACACTCTGCCTTGCTGTCACTGGAATAGCGCCTTCTCCAGAAGTTAGCCTCGCAAGGGTGGTTTCCTTTCAGGGGTTCGTTTTGGGCCTAGGTCTGTAAAAGCTGCACGCTAAGCTTCTGCCAAGAGCTGCAGAGGCAGCCACCCACTGCTGTTTCTTTAGGCCTCATGTACGTACAACACAGGAATTCAGACCTTCTCAGGGTACAGGGAAGAGCTGGCTGGCTGTAAACCCTAGCCGTCTCTCCTACTTACTAGCCGGGTCTACGGACTTGACAAGTGTCCCTCTTGACCTCTGTTAAGTCCAGTGCTGTCCCACCTCCTTCTGAGGGCTGCAGGAGCAGCGGTGGGTGGCCTTTCACAGCCTGATGTTTTTGACAGCTGACTCTTGGCACAGCCCACCCCTCGGGAAATGGTCCTAAGCTTCCTTCTCTCCGCCTGGGGGTGTAGAGTACGCACTTCGCCCCTTTACTCTAGAGAGGTTTGCGCCCACCAGGCTGTGAGAGCTGGCATCTGTTGGGGCTGGAAAATTGATAGCACACACGATTAACAGCTTAGCCACAGTGGTGTCACACACACTGACAGAGGCAGGTGGTCCCCATTAGCCAGGCATGAACTGCAGGCGAGCGGCTGAACCTTGAGGAGGCAAAAGGTCTTTTTCATTAAGAGAGCGCCTGCTCCCAAACCTGTAGGCAAGGAGTGTAAATATACATTGAAATAATCCATCAGCAGTGTGACTGCCTTCCTCAGACCTTGGAGAGAGCCTCAGCACTGCCCAGAATACCACTAAACCACCAGAGTTGCCTAGGATACCAGTCACATGAGTCCATCTCCCAGACTTGCCCCAGCTGATTTATTTCCCTTTATTCCGAAGAGCAGTGGGGGTGGGGCTCAGACACACGTTCACAGCCCCGCCCTGTAGAGGGGCTTTGTGTGAGAGCATCCTTTGGCCTACACTTGAGCCCCTGGCAACCCTTGCCCTTGGGCACTGGGGACCAAAATAGCATTTCCTGTGTCAGTTCTCTTGCCAGTGTTTGGAATTCCACTTCATCCTCCAGGGAGGAGGCTCCACGTTGTGCCCTTTGAAGGGGCAGCAGTGGTAGCAGCGGGTGGGGAGGAGAGAGCATGGCTGGGCCTGCGGACTCTGGGATCTTCTGAGTGTGACTGCTGAGCAGAAGTGGCCTGGCCCCTTCAGCTAACCACTCAACCGAGAAAAGACTGTCTAGTCTTCTCCGCCCCAGAGCTTGAGCTCCTCTCTTCCTGAGGCCCTAAGACGAGGATGTACACTCAGTGAGCTCTGCCCGCGCCCAGTCCTGCTGACCTTCGCACTGACTGGCTGTCACACTGGTGGATCTTGCTGCTGCCTGAGCTGCAGATGATAGAGAGGTTTCTCTTGCTGATTGAATCTAGAGAGACAGCAGCCCAAGGAGAGGCTGTGGCACGAGCCTGAGAACTGGGTGCCGAGTAGTTCCCGTGTCATTTCAGATGCTGTCGTCAGACCTCCAAAGTGCACAGTGAAAATGAACAGGAAGACATTCTCTGACCTCTCCTCCTTTCGGCTCTCTCTCCAGGTAGCTGTGTCTTGAAGTAGGGGCCACTGGGAACAATGCCACCTCCATCGGACATTGTCAAAGTGGCCATTGAATGGCCAGGTGCTAACGCCCAGCTCCTTGAAATTGACCAGGTATGGTCCCGCTGTGAGCCTCAGGGCTGTCAGGAGACGGTCAAGTTCATAATGGTGGGTGTGTTTAGGCCTAGAGGCCCCTGGCATTGTAAATAAGAGTAGCCCATCCTGAAGGATCTCCCCCCTCTCTTTCAGAAACGGCCCCTGGCATCTATCATCAAGGAAGTGTGCGATGGGTAGGTTGAAGTGACCTCCTTTCCACAGTGACAACTAAGGCTGCCCAGCCCTGGAAGGATCTGTGCAGATGGTGTCCAGCTGGCTTGAGGCATTGTCTTACCAAGGAGGGACAGCTGATAAGGTCCCCAAGGCCTCCTGAGACCCTCATTTGTTCCTGGGCCTCAGAGTGTCCTTTGGGAGGTCTGGGTAGGATGTGAGACCCATGTCCCTCTCTTTGCCTGTACCTCCTTCTGTGTTGCTGACCCTCTCAGGGTCTTAACCAAAAGCTTTGTTTGGATTCCACCGTGCTCCAGACAGGCTGGCAGGTCCCCGAGTGACTTTTGAGAACCATTCTGCTGCTGCTCTGGACAGGCCCAGAGGAGAGGCTGGCAGGTTGTACTGTTTTCTTTCCCACAGGTGGTCACTGCCAAACCCCGAGTACTACACGCTCCGCTATGCAGATGGGCCCCAACTCTATGTCACGGAGCAGGCAAGTACTGGGCAGGCAAGCAACCCGCCAAGGAAATGGTACAGTCTAGCTTCTTACTGTCAGGACGGCTCCAGTTCCCTGTTCAGAGCTGCGCTTTAGGCAGCATGGAGTACACCAACTGGCTCCCTGCTGGCTGAGGTCGCTTTTGCTTCACGACCCGGAGCTCTTGAGGAAAATCTTAGAATCTCTTTGTAAGAAGCAAGTGGGAAGAGGCCTAGCAGCAGAAGAGCCTCGGCGCGCTGCCCGTTGTCCTTAGGTAGCCATGGAGGGGATCCCCAGGAGCCCTGGGTACCAAAGGCTGTGGAGGTACAGACGGCACAGTGGTTGCCTGTCACCTAGGCACATCCCTGCCTGTCACACTAACATCCCCCTGGATGCAGAATGTACCTCTTGCAGTGGGTGGGCCATGGACGTACCTGCCTTCCAGCAATGCTTAGGGGTCCAGACAAGGACAACAGGCAGGACCGTTCAAAGCCAACCCTTCCCCCTGCAGACCTCTTTGGTTCACTGCTAGATGAGTCATCTGCAGATGAAGAGAATCAATTACACTGTGAAAATGGCCACCAATCCTTACTGAGTCATCTCCATGCACTGTTTTAATACTGTCTTTTTGTTCTGTTTTATTTTTTGCTACCCAGACCCGAAGTGACATTAAGAATGGGACAATCTTACAGCTGGCCATCTCCCCGGTAGGTATCCAGTCCTCCTGGCACACATGAGCACCTGTCCACCTGTGGGTGGACTCTGCTCCGCAGGTGTGAGGCCACAGAGATTGTGAAGAAATCCCTCGCCCTCATAGCCGGGCTGACAGCTCGTGAGCAAGGGCAGCAGGCAGCCTCTTGGCATGTAGGCTGTCTGAGAGGGACCGACTCCCTCAGCATAAGGGTTTCCAGAAAGCTTTCCCAGAGACAGGGACCCTGAACTTGGATGCTAAAGCTAGGAGTAACGGAAGGAAGAGGAATCTTGTTTCCTAGTGTAGAAGCCAGAGCTGTGAAGTGTGTGAGAGAGAGATCAGTCCTGAAGGCACTCGCACAGCCGCCTGTGGGCTCAGACTTTACTCAGAAGGAAATGGAATCCAGGAGGAGCGTGCCCTGTGCATTCTATTGAGTGTTAGAAAGGCCACATTCATGGCAGACAAGAGAGACTGGTGGGAGTGCGAGCTCTCGGCAATTGGTAAGGATGAAGTCCCAGCAGACACAGTGGGGTGACAGGATTGACAGGTACAAGAAAGACTTGAGAGATAACCTTGGTGAATGTGTCAGAGTCCGGGGGGTGGGGGGGGCAGAGGGGAACTCGGGGATCCTCTCATTCTATATAAGCAACCCTTAAAGGCAAGAAAGGGGAGCAGGCTGGGCAGGGGTGGGCAGCAGAAGCCAGGAGCAGTAGAACAGGCCTGTGATCCCAGCATTTGGGAGGCAGAGGCAGGAGGATCATGAATTCAAAGTCATCTTCAGCTACAGGCTGGCCAAAGCTAGTGTAAGCTCCAGAGACCATGTCTCAAGACAGTGTGGGGTGGTGGTGAGGAAGGGTGCTAAGCTACTCAGGCAGGGTAGAGGAGGGGGGCTCACAGTGCAGGGAGCACAGACCATCCACATGCCACAGCCCACTTCCCACAGTAGGTGAGCAGCCAGCTGCTTGAGTGAAAGTTGAGGGCACAGTAGAGAAGCTTACGTCTGCTGCTGCCTCAGGGAGCTCAGTCTCCAACGGAAGACGAGGGGACAGGAACCTGGGAGACGTGGGAGCCGAAAGATGTTAGTCTGAAAGATAGGTGAAGCATGTTAGTGTGTTTCAGAACTTGTGAGGTTTGGCACAGAAGTGGAAAGTCCTCTGGTTCTTGTGTCCTACCCTCCAGCTTGCGGCCCTTTCTTTCTCCTGCAGTTTGTCGTGTGTCCCATGGATAAGTTTAGATGGGAGAGAGGGGTAAGCGTTCAGTCTGTGTCAGGGCAGGGAGGCAGGCCTGAGACAGACATGGTCACCAGGGCTCAGCCTTTGTCACACTAGTAGGAAATTAGGGTCATGCTTTCTTTTGGGGGGAAGGACCCACTTGTCTGGAGAGGGTTTGTAGAGGAGTGCCAGCCAGTACTTGCTTTGTGTTTTGCTATCTCTTCCTGACTGCATCAGTTCAACCGAGAGGGAGACCAGGGGACCAAGGACTAAGGTTGAGCCTCTTGCCTCAGGTGAAACTGAAAAAGTAGCCAAGCCAGATTCAGACTCAGGCCTGAGTCTCAGCCAGTTTACTTAGCATCCTGTTCACCTCCCTCCTTTCCTGAAGGAGCTTCTCAGAGGAAGAACCTCCACCTCCCCGTCTCCCCACAAACACGAGCCAGGCTCTGCTGATTTCATGTGACAGTCTGAGGAAGGGCAGAGAGCATTTTATAGACCTCAGTATAAAGTGGAACAGGGGACAGCAGCTGGAAAGGCTGTCTCTGGAGAGAGATTGACATTTGGGCTAGAAGTTTCTAAGCTTGGTGCAGACCAGTGCTTGCAGGTTCTCTCATGGGTGACCTTTTCTTGGGCACACCCTTCTTCCACTGTGGGAATAGAAGGATCTGTGCGTCACCGAGAGCACGCTGTGCAGGTATGGGCCCCTCTTTGTAACAGAGAGGCAAGGGAGGGGTAGCCAGCCCCACTCTCTGGCCTCCAGTCACTTCCTGACACTGAGCAGACAGGTAGGCCCAGGTCACTCTGCTTCTCCTGCTTCTTTCCAGAGAGAACATTCTGTTCAGAGCATAGCATGATGAAACAGTGAACTGGAGTCTGACTGTGTGCAGTGAACTGGGGTCTGACTGTGTGGTAGTAAGCTCAGCACAGGGAGTCACAGTGGACACTGCTAGGCTGCAGGAGGCAGGCAGCCTGCCGGGGAAGAGCCCTGCTGGGAGACATCTGTCCTCAGCAGCTGCCATGTCCAGGAAGCTGTCCATAATCTCAGCCTCCGGCTCCTTCATCCTTCAAGATTGCCCAGCATGATTCTTGTGGGGAAGGGTGATCTAGAACGCTGAAAGGTTCGTCAGACTTACCACACTTTAGAATTAAAAGAGTCCTTCAGGGCCATCAGATTAAATTCTAGGACAGGGCCCTCAGCATCTGACAGATGCTTTCAGTCTTCCTCGATTGCTTCCAGGGGCAGAAGCTCCCTTGCTGACAGGTAATGCTCACTGTAGAAAGCTCCCTGTTAAACCAGATCTGCTTTTGAGGACTTGCAGTTAGGAGATACCCTTTCTTTATTTTCTTGGTAGAAATTAAAAAAAAAAAAATCTGTAGAACAAGATGGCTTGGTGGGTTAAGACACTTGTCACCAAGCCTGATGACCTGAGTTTTATCCCCTGGACCTATATGGTAGAAGAAGAGAACCAACTCGGTCAGATTAACTAATACTCTGATCTTCACACTCAGGGTATAGCATGCACATGAATGCACACACACAAAATTAACATAATTTTTAAAACAAAATCATAAGCTAGAGGAATACAGAAAAGGTACAGATAACTACAGATCAGTCTCGGCATGCTGGAAATTCTCTTACTGGTCCATAAACATTGATTTAGCAGTTCCTCAGCCTCGTGAAACCCTAACTGCCTGGGGCTCTGCTGCAAGCCCACGGTAGTAACCTGCTGCAAGAGCAGATGGCATCTCTTTTGTCCCTGGCTTCACAGTCCCGGGCTGCACGCCAGCTGATGGAAAGGACCCAGTCATCTAGTATGGAGACCCGGCTGGATGCCATGAAGGAGCTGGCTAAGCTCTCAGCTGACGTGACCTTTGCCACCGAGTTCATTAACATGGATGGCATCGTTGTGCTGACAAGGCTCGTGGAGAGCGGAACCAAGCTCCTGTCCCAGTGAGTATCAGCAAAGTCTGACAAGCAAGTTCAGAGTCCTGTGACCTGCAGGGCTCCTGTTCCCACTCCTGTGGTGTCACAGTTTACCCCTGCGCTCACAGCAGCAGGCTAAGCTCAAGTCCACATGCAGAGAGCTCTTGTCCCTGTTGGGGCCCTGCATCTCAGAGTCCAGGGGACTGGCGTGGGTTGAGTGACCCAGTGCTGTGCTGGGTGAGTACTGAAAGTAGAGGGGCCTTGACGTCAGCAGGGAAGTGAGTGTGCAGCAGACCTGATGAATTATGGGAAGAGGTGGGAACTCGTCCCATCCTCTCTCACGCAGTGTGCACGCCTCCCTCTGAATGCCACAGGTTTCTCCCATTTGCCATCTCCCTGCCCCACACTGTCAAGGAGGAACCCAGGACTTGGCACCACCCCTTGGCACCTCTACTGCCCTCCAGGCTTAGGTGGTTGTGGTAGGAAGCCAAGCCTTGTATGTGATCAGCAATGAGTGACAGATGCCCAGGTCCCCGCCTAAGCCTGTAGAGCCTAAACTACAGGCAGGGCGTCAGAAGTCTCACAGGATGGATCAGCTCCTGAAACTGTCAGCCAAGCCAAGCAGCTAATCCTAGGTATTTGTTTTAAAGTCTTGGATCTCCCAGCTGCACCAGCGCTGAAGCCTCTGGCTGCCACTGGGAGAGTTCTGGCTGCCACGGACCAGCCTTAGTCCCCTCTGCTCTGAAATGGGGACAACGCTCAGCTCAGAGTTCTGTGGGCAGCATTATTACCTCTGTCAGTCGGGGCCTGGCTTGTTAACTGTAGAACACCGTGCCCCTGCATGAATGATTAAACCTGTAAGGAGAGACAAAAGGCAGCCGTTTAATCCCTCCACCACGTTATTGTAAGGGCACTGCAGACCTCCTCAGTCTGCCCTCCCCACAGCCCTGTGGGGCTAACGCTGTGAGACTAACTCGATTTCACAGAGCAGGAAGCTAGAGTAGGAGAAGATAAAACGAGCACAGCAACTGCTCGGATGGAAACCAAACGCATAACCGCACCTGCGCCGGCTCCCTCGCCCTGTGGCCTCTTGGCCTCAAGGTTAATGCTAGATCCGCGCTCTCTTTGGTCCCCCTGCAAGCATCATCAGTTTGACAGAGGTCTTTGTTTTGGGAGATAGATGACAGACTAAGCCCGGGATGGAGCGAGATGGAGAAGACAAGCCTAGGAGCTCGCAGCCCACCGGCTTCCTGGTGCAGGGCCAGGGCTGCATCCTGCCTGGGCCTGCCTCGGGCACTGACTGTGGCTTCCACAGACTTCCCATGGGTGTTTACTGAGCTCTGTCCCTTTTGTAGCTGCCTTCACACTTGTGCTCCCCGGATCTGAATCTCTGTGTTTTGTGTGTGTCACACATGTCTCAGCTACAGTGAGATGCTGGCATTCACCCTGACTGCCTTCTTAGAGCTCATGGACCACGGCATTGTCTCCTGGGACATGGTTTCCATCACCTTTATTAAGCAGGTGAGGCTTCCAACGTTCAGTTTGTTCCCTCCCCCTCCCTCTCAGTTCTCTGGGCATAAGGAGAGAGTGATGGTGCAGCCTGGAGTCTCTGACAGGAGTTAGCTCTGTATCCCCAGGGCTGGGTGTTCATTCTCCAGCAGTGATCTTCCCAGGACTCCTGAGAGCTTTACACTTTAACAGATGCTCCCCAATTTACAGTAGGTTCTTACTTGATAAACCCATCACACGCTGGAAATGTCACCAGATTAAAAATGAATTCATTTCCCTTGGCCTCTGGACATCCTCCTGAGCAGCTCATAGTGGCTTCTTTGTTTGCCTCCTGACCACCTTCTTGGGAGGTGTGGCTCAGTTGCCATATTCTGGTCTCAAGAGAGGTCCTTGTCACTTGCCCAGGAAGAGATCTCAATTCACAATTTGCCTTCCCTAGAGGCCTGCACCAAGAAAGGGGCTCAGAGCCACTGGTTGTCAGAGAGGCTGGCACAGACCAGCTCCGTCAGCCCTGAGTGGCCTGCTTCCTCAGCTCTTCTGAGAGAAAACTGCGTCTGATTTGCAAATGTGCTTCCTTGGTAGAAATCTGCCAAGTAGCCTGCTTGGTTTATCAGATTAGATGGAGGGTAGAAGGAAGGGCCCTTCTCTCTGCTTCCAGAAGAGGCAGGCTCAGCTCAGGGAGCCAAATGGACACCAGTGCATACCCTGCTGTCTGTTGACGTTCTCACTAAGAACGTCCCACTGCTAAAAACATCCATGTGGAGGGAATCGAGAAGAGGGTGGGCCTAAGGGGCTCTCCGGGTCTGACGGTCTAACTGTTGGGAGAATAGGTGGGGATAAAGTAAGATACAAGAATCAATAGGTCTACCGTACGCTGAACCCTTATTTGACAAGGATTAATTTATTACATTCTTACATTTTGAAGAAACACAATTGAGTGGATACTGTCACCTAAGATGGTGAGGGAATCCCTGCCCACTGACCAGGGCAGCCCCAAACCAGATGAGACCTACCTAGGCACTGCTGCTCACAGGAGACATCATGCTGAGAAGAGAGCATCAGGGGTTTCCTCGGCTCCATGCTTCCCATCCAGTGTGCCTCTCTCTGGGTCTAGATTGCAGGGTACGTGAGCCAGCCCATGGTCGATGTGTCCATCCTCCAGCGGTCCCTGGCCATCCTAGAGAGCATGGTACTAAACAGCCAGAGCCTGTACCAGAAGATAGCGGAAGAGATCACCGTGGGACAGCTCATCTCCCACCTGCAGGTGTGAGTAAGGGCCCCGCCCTCGCCCGACCAGTCTGTTCTCTCAGGGTTCAGCCTGGCCCTGCACACTCCTTCAGTACCTCCTCCTCCTCTGGGATTCCTCTCATAGTATAGACCCCAGCTGCCAGGCAAGGTTAGACGCTCCCTCTTCTGAGGGCCTGTTAGTCTTGTTTGTACATGTGCATATATATATATGTATGTGTGTGTATATATGTATATATATATACATATATACACACACATACATACACATACATGCGCATGCATGCTTGCGCCGCGTGTTTCCCCATCTGAAGTTCTGAGCTCTCTAAGGACAAAGACTCAGCCATTTTTGAACCCTCTTCCTGACTGAAGTGGGTGATCACTTACTAAGCCAACAGTGTGGTGGCAACAATAAGAAATATGGACAACATGAGTTTGTGTTGCAGCTCAGATCCAGGCTCTGGGATGCCAGGGTTTGCCCTTAAACTACCCGCTCGAGCCTGTGGTCTCCCTTTCCTCATCTCTAATGTGTGAGTCATCCCCACTTTCTCTACCCATGCAGCTCAAAGGAGAGTTAAATACTAGTACAGGGGGCAGCCCAGATTATTGCCTAACCCGAAGGCTGGGCGTTAGTTTGCTTTTTTTTGGAAGCTTACCTTATCAGGACTTTTTTTTTTTTTTAGCCTGTAACAAAGCCAGGTGCCACACAGACACCATTGGGAGCCTATCTGTGATGGTAGGGGCCTAACTTCTGCCAAGAAGGAAGAGTAGTAACATGGTTGGTTGATTGACACCGACTCTCACCCCCTTCTTGCCTGTTGGACTTAATTGGAATGGACCCAGTTCCCCTATGGGGCCCTGAGGGTGCAGATCTCCAAGATAGTCTTCCAGATGCAAGGCAGATGTGGCTTCACCCAGGACTAACAGCTTAGGAGTGGCAACACCCACAAATGGGCTGGGTCCCCAAGCCCTCAACACATCAATGACTAATTAAGACAATACCCCACAGGCTTGCTTACAGCCTGATCGTATGAGGGCAGTTTTTCAAGTGAGGCTCTCTCCTCTCAGACGAGTTTAGCTTGTGTCAAGTAGACATAAAAGTGGCCAGCACAGCTGACTCCCTGTCACCTTAGAAGACAAAAACATCATCACCGTGAAGCCATCTTTCCTTTCTTCTTCATCCCCAAGATCACACATTAATAAAGACATTGCATTGGAAAACGCTTTACCAACTTCAAGTCCCACAGCCTTACAACATTCAAACGCTTTAAAGTTGTCCCTTTTAAAAATCAGGTCTCTTTAAAAGTACAAAGTCTATATAATACTCTCAAACCTTTTTTTTTTTTTTTAAGTTTAAAGCCTCTCAACTGTGCAGTTCTGTAAAAATAAATACTTTCTTACTTCAAGTGGGAAGAACCAGGGCACAGTAACAACCCAAACAAAGCAAAAGCAAACTCTAACTGTAAATAACCCAGTGTCCAGAGTCTGGGCTTCATTCCTCTTCGGGGCTCCTCTGAGGGATGGGTCAGTTCTTGGCTCCATCCTCTGCAGCGCACACAGCCTGTTTCCCAAGCTCCCACGGGCTTCACAGCTGCCGCTGGCGGGGGTCGCCCACGGTCCTGCATCTCTACAATGCTGAGATCTGCAGCTGGGCTGCACCTTCACCAGCGCCCTCTCCTGGCCTCTCACAGAGCCAGGCCTCAGCTGCTCTCCTTGACCCCTTCACACCTCCAAAACTAATACCACCTGGGTGACTCTTACACTATCAAGTTCAGCTGCCAGGGGGAGGATTAACCTCTGGAACGCAGCTTCTGTGTGAGGGAACATTTCCCAGATTTCACCTCAGCTCCGCCAGACCAGCATCAATTGTCCCAGTAAGACAAAAGTTTTACTTCAGTGGTACTGGTTTCTTGTTAATCACAGCTGTCCTCAGCTCCAGCTGACCAGGTCCACACAAATGGATGGGTAGAGTCTTTGCTTCCCTCTGAGTCTGCACAAGCCAGGCCCCATCCTAACATTCTTCTCTTCCAAGCTCCCACAGAACAGCTGCCCAAGCTTTGAACACTCAATGGTTTTTCTAGCCCAAAGTTTCAAAGTCTTTCCCCAATCCTCCCAAAAACACACGGTCAGGTCTATCCCAACAATACCCCACTCCTGGGACCGATTTCTATCCTAGTTACAGTTTCTATTGCTGTGATAAAACACCATGACCAAAAGCAAATTGGGGGGTATAGGGTTCGTTTGGCTTGGGCTTACACATCACTGCTCATCATTAAAGGAAGTCAGGGTAGGAAATCAAACAGGGCAGAAACTGGAGCAGAGGCTTGGAGGGGTACTGCTTACTGGCTTGCTCCTCATGGCTTGCTCAGCCTGTTTTCCTATAGATCCCAGGACCACCAGCCCAGAGATAGCACCACCCGCAATGGGCCGGGCCCTCCCCATCAATCATTAATTAAGGAAATGCCCTACAGGCTTTCATACAGCCCGATCTTATGGAGGCATTTTCTCAATTGGGGTTCCCTCCAGTCCGATGCTTTAGTTTGTGTAAGTTGGCATAAAACTGGATAACACAGCCCAACAGTGCTTCTAACTCGCTTCCCCCATTAATCTGATTTTTCAAGAATGTATGTGACTTCTTTTTGCACTGGTCTCACCCTGTCACTGTGATCTGGGGGGGGGGGTCTCCTGCTGGCCAGGCTGCCCCTGGACTCTGTCTACCCCTCACAGTCTGGAGCAGCAGGTGTGCGCCACCCCTGGCTTCACCTTGTCGCTTTTAAAGAATTCTTCTTTCCAGCTTTCATATTTGAAATACCAGGCTGGGACAGAGATTACAGACTCTGGATCGGGAGTGTTTTGGGTCCTGGCGACTTCTCTATCCTCATCTCTGAATTGGAGGTGACCTCAGTCACCTCCCTGAGCACAGTAGAAGAAAGTGACAGTTTTTAGGCATCTCTCATGAATATTTAGCCCACACTGTCACCAGTGTACATATGTTCAGTGAGGGACCTGCCTGACCAGGAAGCTGTTAGCCCTCTGAGGAAGCTACAGGGGGCACTCACAGCATGGCAGATGGAACCCCCAAGTGCCAGCTATGTCAAATTCTGAGGAAATGCTTATGGCTGTTTTATTTACTTAAAGTAAAGTAAACTTGTAGTCAAGGCTTTGAGAGTATGGAAACCATGGAGAGTACATGATCTGCTCATTGTTGCACTCCAGACAGAGCCGCTGTTAAACTAACGTGAACGCCCCTCTAGCTTCTCCTTTGCATATCTTTGCTGGCATTTAGATCTTGCTATACACTCATGTGTACCTTGCTTATTACTGTTTTCTTTGCTGAATAATAAATACACCATGAACATTTTCCTGTATCACAATCTTCCACAGAGATGCTCCTAACCCTTCCCAGATGCCTGTGGGAACCCAGGGCCACCTGAGCTTCCTCCCTGACAACAGCCACATAGTCGGCTAGATGCTTTCTAGATCTTACCTGGCCTACACTGATACTCCAAGCCCATCTCTGAGAGCCAGGTTAATAGTCCACCCCAAAGCGTGATTTTTAGGAGGCCCTGAGGAGTCTCCCATATTAAACAGCCCCTAGCAAGAGCACATGGATTACTTAACATTCTTGTCCCTTCAATAGGACTCCAGTTTAACAGCTTGTCAGTAAATCACACATAGCTTCCTGGTTACTGTCTGGGATAAATCCCTTCCATGGGATAGTGGGGTCAAGTGTACGCCTGCTCAAAATGCTTTTCTGACTGCGTCCCCAGTTGCTGTTTGATCACCATGTGTTTTAAGCTGCGTGTGGGTGTCATCATCTTGCTCTTTGGTCCTCTCATCCCGCTCTCTCCATCTCTGTTGACACAGCTCCAACCAGGAGATCCAGACCTACGCCATTGCTCTGATTAATGCGCTGTTCCTGAAGGCCCCCGAAGACAAGAGACAGGTCTGTGGCTGCCTTTCCAACCTTTCCTCTGGGCCGTCTAAGAGAACCGCCGCCACAGTTCAGAGTAGGCTCAGCGGCCAGGGAGCAGAGATTAGCGGTGCTCCCAGTGCTCCCGGCTAAGCCTCCTGGCCAGAACCCAGCAGGTTGTTTTTCCTAAGGAAACCCTAGGAAAGAACTGGGAAGAGGGAGACCTGATGCTTCCTGGATCAGAGCAGAGTTCTGCAGGCTGTTCCTCTGCAGGGCCAGGAAGTAAATGTTTTTCACTTCTTGTGGCAGCTCTTCAGCCTTGGCTGTTGTAGGCAAAAGCAGCTCCTGACAAGACAGTGGTACAGCTGTCCCCAGTCAAACTGTTTACACAGACAACACACCAATATGCCCACAGTCTGCTAATTCCTGAGTTAGAGGACTAAGAAGAGGGAGGGGGAGTCCCTCTGGCATTGTTATGGTCTGAAGGAAATGGGACTTAGGAGCAGGCTTCACCTGTGCAGCCTCTGGTCCACATCCTCAGCCACCTTCCTCTGGTACCAGCTGTGTGGCACACACAATCCTGGCAAGCTCTTCCTGTCCCAGTTTTAGTTTCTCACCTATGATGTTGGGAGTTACAGCATCTGCCCTGACCACTCACTCCTGATGAGGCCACTGGGTCACATGAGGCCCCTATTTTAACAGTGTGGGACCTCAGTGGAGGACCTGGACAGAGTGCTTGTCCTTTTTCTGTCTGGGCAAGTGTATCAGCCTTCCAGTCTTCTAATTTCATCTTTCTATGAAGTTAAAGGACAAAATTAAACAACCTCCAAGCTTCCTTCCAACCCAACACACTAGCTCTCTGGTAAAAACACACACAGTATACTTTCTAGTACACGTATTATACATAGTAAGGCTTTCTAGTTGTCACTATTACAGGCTCACTAAATGAAGTCCATATGGGATCATGCACCAGGCTCTCAGGAGTTCCTTTACTAGAGAGAGGAGCAGAAGCATCCATAGTTTGTCTGTCTTACCTGTCTGGGTCGTGTGGCTCTGTTAGCATCTCCTTCTGTCTGGATGGTGTGGCTCTGTTAGCATCTCCTTCTGTCTGGATGGGGTGGCTCTGTGAGCATCTCCTGTCTGGATGGGATGGCTCTGTGAGCATCTCCTTCTGTCTGGATGGGGTGGCTCTGTGAGCATCTCCTTCCTGTCCCTGTTTCATTGTAAGCCAAAAGCTCATCCTGTCTGCTTCTCTCTGTGCTTTTTGCTTTCTGCTGGCAGGACAAGCACCTTAACCCTCTAGACCTGCCCGTCACTGTAAGTAGCACTGCTGTTGTAGGGGCCTGGCTCTTCCTGGTGGGGAGGTCAGAGCTGGGCAGGAAACATATGGGCTGGCTCGGCTGCTCAGGGAACCAGGGCCTTGGGAAGATAGCATACGTCTGTCATATTGGAATGCCAGAAAGCCACTGTAGGTGAGAGTCATGGAAGGACTGTGTATACCTGATCTGGGAGTTAATAGAGTTATACAGTTTACAAAAGAGAGTTTGGGACCTGAAGAGATGACCTGGCTCTTGCTGAGGACCCAGGTTCAATTCCTAGCACCCACATGGAGGGTCATAATTGTCTCTAAATCAAGTTCCAGGGAATTTTATACCCTCTTCTGGCTTTCTCAGGTACTACACACACACACACACAGTCAAAACACTCATTCACATGAATTTTTAAGATCACAAAGAATTTGGGTGTTTGTTCTTAGAGGGACCATTGGAGAGGCCGCCTTTTGAGGACATGAAGGAGTGTGTTGCTCCCCACCCCAGCACCAAGGAGAAGCACATCAAAGGGTTTCATAGCTTAGCTTCTGCTACGGTATGATATAAGGACCCTCTCTGAGAATTGTCCACCCAGGGTTTAGTCTCATCTGATGTCTTGGAAGCTTCCAGGCACCATCCTCCTCTTCTAGCCAAGATGTGCTCAGGGGTTCACAGTAAACCCGGATGCCCCTGGCCAGATGTTTATAACATGGATAGAGATTTAGAAACAGAGGAGAGAGGTCACTGGACAGCAGCCTCCCCCTCCCTTCCCCTCCCCACCCCCGGCTCACTAATTTCCTGCCATCAGTAAAGGTGACTGAAGGCAGTGTCTTAGCAGGGACTCACTGTAGCTAACATCACTAAGGCAGGTTGCTGACATTGGAAGGAACGAACTGAAAAACTGAGAAAAGTTCTCAGAAAATTAGAAGCATTCTGATATGGGAACATTTTGTTTGGGTGAAATGTAACAGCCCCTCAGAGGGACAATGTCATGGCAGAGTGACCTCCAGCAGGCTTGGAAAAGGCTTGAAAGATAATCACTGCAGTCCTTCGTGTGTCTTTTTTAAAGATGGTCAAAATGGTGCCAATGGGCCCCTTAAGTCTCTGTGGAGGGCTTATCTACTAATACTTTATTCCCTGGGTACTTAATCATTAAAATGCCAACGTCTGAGCCAAATATGATGGACAGGGGAATCTGCTGTGAAATATTACCCAAAGGCCCACAACACGTGACCTTCTCAGTGAGGTTTGAGTGACCACACACCCATCTCACAGCACAGTCTGCTGCCCAGGGTTCTTCAGCTGTGGCTGTCTGCCTGGAGTGGTGCATGTCCTGCTGTGTGCTCTGCCTGCAGTGTCCGTCACCTGCATCCTTGTAACACATGTGTCTTGTCCTCAAGCAATCCAAGTCACGTGAAGACAGGAAGCTTATTGTGCCAGAGGAAGGGACAGCGAGTTCATTTGCGTTCATGAAAAAAGCAGGGGAAGTTTTAGAGTAAACCACATCTGATGGTCAGATGGTCTTCACTGTTCACTTGAAAGGAGAACAGTCAAGCTGTGAGGACCCTGTCCACTGACAGCAGTCACAGATGCCATCGGCCCTGCCTTACGTTTGTTGGTTTCCCTCCCTAGGACATGGCCAACGCCTTTGCACAGAAGCACCTTCGGTCCATAATCCTGAACGTGAGTTCCCAGTGACTGCCTTTGTTAATCCTTGTTCCTACTGCCGGGAGTCCTCACCATCCCAAGGAGGGGGCCTGACTACCGCCATTGAGGGTGGGCCACAGAGCAGGCTTGCTAACAGGTGCTGGCCACTTCTGAAACCTGAGCTTTTTCTTGGACTCCTCTGAGCCAAACTGCCTCTGGGAAGCCATCCCCATGGTCCCCAAGAGATTGCAGCCCCTCCAGGGAGAAGGTGAAGGTCATGTCCACTGCTTGTTACAATTCAGAACTGTTAAGTGAGCACAAGGGGACGAGCACCGGGAGCCAGCAGCAGCTCTGACCCAGAGTGCTCTGAGGCCTGGAGCGTGCAGAGGGAATGCAGTGCTCCTGAAGGCTGGTGCTCTGCTGGGGAAGGTGGGGCCCAGCACAGCGTGGCTAGGAGAGAGAGGGCAGGACCAGTGAGATCTGCTTTGCAGGGAGGGCTCAGGAAGCCTTCAAGGAGCACAAGTGTTAGGCGCCCCGGCAAAGCTCCAAGGTTAGACCTTAGTCTCCCTCCCCAGCACAGCTGAGATCCAGGGTGGTGGTACAGGTGTAGTTGATTCTAGATCACCGTGGACTGTGCTTCAGGAGCTGGGCGCTTGCTGAGGGTTCAAGAGGAATCTGGAACGATGTCTTCACTCTTGTTGCCTTAGTGATGGTGTGGGTTATGGGAAGGCAGTGAATGGGGGTGGGGACAGGAGCCAAGACCTGGGCTAAAAGGAAAAGAGTTTATTAGTTGTCAAAAACAAAGGAAAGCCCAGAGACCACGGTGAAGGTAATAGACGGACATCAGAGTCAGGCGTGAAAGAGTTGATGCTGGTGGTGGGCTTTGGCCATTTTCCAGTCTGCTCTGCTCCTGAGCAGCTAACCCTGTATCCCTGGGCTTTGATTTGCTTAGCTGGGTGTGAAGACTGAAGGGGCTAAAATACATAGGCCGAGCCTGACAGGGAGCATGACATCTGTGGACAGCAGGGGTGTGTGCATGTGCGTGTGCATGTGCGTGTGTGTGTGTGTGTGTGCACGCGAGTGTGTATACATAGGCTCTGCCTGACAGGGAGCATGGCATCTGTGGGCAGCAGGGATATGTGTGTGCGTGTGTGTGTGTGTGCATGTGTGTTTGTGTGTATGTGCACATTTGAGTTTGTGCATGTGTGTAGTAACAGAGCTCTAGAAGAAAGAAAGCTCTGAGCAACCCTGCAGAGTCCGATGGCTTTACCTTGTGTGACTTGATCCCCAAGTCACTGCAGCCCCTGCTCCCTTCCAACACATGTGGACTGGGGAGTGCCCATTGCTGTGGGCCCTCCAGAACAGCTGCCTAGGAACCCCCTCTGCATGAGGGCATGGGGAGGCATTAATAGGGAAAATCTTCTATGTTTGAGCTTAGCTTGATGGATCAGAAGAGGGTCCCACGGAGTAGACAGCTGAGCCTCCGGCCTTAACTGATTGGCCAGGCAGTACCTATGTATGCTGTCTGCTGAAGCCCGAGAGCGGCACCCATTGCTGGAAGAGCACTTTCCCTCCCTCTCACCTGAGACCTATGAGCAAAACCCAGGAGCACACCGCCACTCCCCTCTCCTCATAGCCATCTTCTGAATGATGGAGGGTAGTGAAGAGGAAGGAATACAGTCCACAGTCACAAATGCCCACACGTGACTAGCGGCTGCTACACCAGACAGGGAGGCTCTGGAGTCAGGGCTACTGAGTAAGACCCAAAGGACACGGGAAGGGACATGGCAGAAGCTGGACAAAAACCCAGAGTGACAGGATTCACGATGTGCTGGTTGAGAAGTCCAGGGAGCCAGGAGGAAAAGCCGGGTGTTGTGGGGTGAAGGACAGGTTGAGACCACATAAAATACCCAAAGTTATTAGCCAAGATGGTGAGGGAGGAAGAGAGAGAGTCAGGAGGTGAAAGGGTGAGGGAGGCTGGGGTCCAGGTCAGAGGGAGCTGCTGAGCTGACGTTGGGAGGAGAGAGGGAAGGCTGAAGGATGAGTGGGGGCTGACATGGGATGACAGGAAAGGAAGGGATGGGGAGGGCAGCGTGAGGCTGGGTAGGAAAGCAACGGCCTTCCTTAGAGGTGGCTCTGTGTCACCTAAGGTGACCTAGTCCAGAGCCTGTCTACCGGTGGTCCTTTTCCATGTGCCCACTGGCTTTAGTCCTGTGAGGTCCAAGCCTGGCGGGTCTAGCTCTGCTGGCTGGTCTCTCCTGGCCGGTGTGCCTGCCCCATCTCTGGTGTCTGAGGTTGAGCACATTCTTAGTTTCACTTCCCCTGCGCAAGATTGGAGAGGAAGGCCTGTGAGAACCTGCTCTGGCCGAGTCTAGCCCCCTTCTACTCAGGAGCGTGCGGGCACCGTGACTGGAAGGAAAGGATCCCTGTGCAGCGTGCTGATACTTACAGCCCGACCCCTGCACCCCTTCCCCACATCACATGACTCTTTAGGAAAGACAGTGCACTGAGCCTGCTCCTGCCTTTCTTTCTCTAGCACGTGATCAGAGGGAATCGTCCAATCAAAACAGAGATGGCCCATCAGCTCTATGTCCTTCAAGTCTTGACCTTTAACCTTCTGGAAGAAAGAATGATGACCAAGATGGATCCCAATGACCAGGCAGGTGCTAGGGGCCCTTCCTGGTGTAAGCTGTGCTGTGTCTTTATGGCTGTGGTCATTCCATCCACAGAGTGTTGGGAATGCTGTGTGAAGTGGTGTCTTAGCCCTGTAAAAACTACTGTGTGCTGCCTTTCCTGAGGGCTCGGGACACAGCCCTCTTCTGTCCTTCTATCCTCCTGCTGGTCCCTCCCAAGACACTGACTTGGGAGCTGATTGACCTGCCCACTACATTGCCCTCCGCCCCCCAGGCTCAAAGAGACATCATATTTGAGCTGAGGAGGATTGCATTTGACGCAGAGTCTGACCCCAGCAACGTCCCTGGGAGTGGGACTGAAAAGCGCAAGGCCATGTATACCAAGGACTATAAAATGCTGGGGTTCACCGTAAGTACCGAGTGCCCTCCCTGCCCTGACAGCTCCCCCTTCATAGTGCTAGCCCTGGAGCAGCAGGCAGAAAGAGGTGAGGGCCTTTGTGTTTGGTTTGCCTTGGCTGTGGCCACTCAGTGGGTATAAACCACCTGGGCATGCAAACCAGCTCCATCAATTCCAGGCCCAGGAAGCCAGCCTTGGCAGAGGGAAAGGGGACCACATGCCTGCAGTGGGTAAAGTTCTGTCTCTTCTCACCTTAATGGTGTGCCTCCCCGCTCTGGCGCTAAGGTTTAGTCTCCACCTTCCATTTTCCCACACCTGTCCTACAGTGGAGAGGAAGGGGTGGCCCCGCAGTCTGTGTGAATCACCTCACCCGTGCAGTTTGTTCTTCACACAGCTGCAGTTGACTGTGTCTGGTTAAACACGGCTCGGCTGGGAGTGAGGTTGGTTTAGCTGTACAGTGTACCTACTTGGTACTGGGCTGCATGATGAAGCAGTCTTAGTCCAGTGCTCCAGGAGCCAGACAAGCTAGGATGGAGCTGAGGGGAAGAGAGGACAGAAGGATGCCCCCAGGCCATTCCACACACAAGAACTCACGTTCACACTTGCTCGCCTGGTTTCTCCAGAACCATATCAACCCAGCCTTGGACTTCACCCAGACTCCTCCTGGAATGCTGGCCCTGGACAACATGCTGTACCTGGCCAAAGTCCACCAGGACACCTACATCCGGGTAAAGGCCAGGGCAGCCCCTCACTCCTGATGTCCATCCCTGCCTGCCTCCCCTCAACCCCCACTTCCTCTCTGCTTATAGATCGTGCTGGAGAACAGTAGCCGGGAGGACAAACACGAGTGTCCATTCGGCCGAAGTGCCATTGAGCTCACCAAGATGCTCTGTGAGATCCTGCAGGTCGGGGAGCTCCGTAAGTCTGCACCGGCCCGATGGCAGGGGGACTGGCAGGCCTTAAGCGGGGACACTTGTTCTTATTCACTTCGTGAGCTCCCGGTCCCCTTACCTTGTCCATGGTGATCATAGCTGCTGTTGTGTGAGCTCGTGACCTCAGGTGTCTCCCAAGCTCCCCGGTGGTGCTGTGTAAGGACTGGCTTAGTCTGTAACAGGACAGAGCGCTAAGGGCTTGAGGAAAGCCCCTTCTGCTCCTTGATGGCTGTAGTTGTGGTCTGTTCTCTTCGTCCTCAGACTTGAGTGCAGAGAATTCAGAGTTGCCAGGTGGGTGCCTTGGGTGCCTGAGAGCAGAGCCTTCGTGCTGACGATTTCTTCTCCACAGCAAACGAAGGGCGCAATGACTATCACCCGATGTTCTTCACCCATGACCGGGCCTTCGAGGAGCTCTTTGGGATCTGTATCCAGCTGCTGAACAAGACCTGGAAGGAGATGAGGGCGACAGCCGAGGACTTCAACAAGGTCAGTACTGCTGAGCTGCTCAGGATGCTGGGAGAAGACCACGGGACAGCCCCTGACAGCTGGCCAGCGCCTGGGGAATCCCTGAGCCGGAAAACCAGTCTGGTCGGCAGCAAGGTCTAAGCACTAGAGAGCCTGAGTCTCAGCTGTCGTGACTCTTTTTATAACCTTGAACGGGCGTCTCCCTCATGATGCCCAAGGCCTGTGTTTGCTGGGGAAAGCTAGCACCTGCCGCTGTTCTCCACAGGGGTCAGGGAACTAGCCGAGCAGAAGGGCTGGACCTGTCATGGCCACAGTGTGGTAGGTGAGTTCTGTGACTAGCCAGTGTCAGCAAGGCAGGAAGGGTGGCATGGTGTGCACATCACGGTGCCTCCCAGGCCTCTGTGCTCTGAGTGCCCTGGAGTGGAGCACTGCTAGGCCCTCACAGGCTGACAGTCCAGGAACCCAGTGTTTTGAGGCTGACCATCCCACTGGGGAAATTTTGGAGATGAGCTGACATAGTGGGACATGCGTGTGAGGCTGGTGGGCATGAGTTCTAGGTCAGCCTAGCCTGCACAGCAAGACCCTGTCTCAAGAAAATAAAACAACAAACCTTGGAAAGTGTACAGAAGAGGTGTCTATAAGACTCTCTATCTCTTTCTCTCTGCCTGTGCGTGTGTGTGTGCGGGTGCAGATTCTCATTAGTTCCTTCTGAGAATTTTCTTTCCTCAGTAGGATCTTGCCACATGTACACTGGGAGGCAGGCATCCTGCTTTCTTCTCTCAGTTGTTTTAGGGAAGCTGTCAAGTTGCAGCACCCTGTCTGCTGGGTGCTCTGCCTGCCTTCCATGTTGCATCTCCCATTCTTCATGGCATCAAGTACAGAAAGATGTCTTCTTCTCTGTAGAGACAAGGATGATGGAGGCCTGAGCACAGTTCATCTTGCTGAAAGAGTTGGTGAAGGATTAAGCATCTAAGAGTTGCGATCAGGGGCTAGAGAGATGGCTCAGTGGTTAAGAGCACTGATTGTTCTTCCACAGCAAACACATGGTGGCTCAAGACCATCTGTAATGGGATCTGATGCCCTCTTCTGGTGTGTCTGAAGACAGTGACAGTATACTCACATACATAAATAAATCATTCTTAAAAAAAAAAAAAAGAGTTGAGATCAGAGCCCATTCCCGACGTGCGTGAGAAAGGAGACTCCTGTTACAGTCTGTCATGTGACCTGAGGCCAGGACTCTGTGTTGCTCACTCTGCCTGAGACACCGGGTGAGGGAGAGGCTTCATCTCCAGTTGGCCTGTCCATTGTCAGAGCAGCCTGTGCCTTCCCCCTCTGCCCAGGTTATGCAGGTTGTCCGAGAGCAGATTACCCGGGCCCTGCCCTCTAAACCCAACTCTTTGGATCAGTTCAAGAGCAAACTCCGCAGCCTGAGCTACTCAGAAATTCTGCGCTTGCGCCAGTCTGAGAGGATGAGCCAGGACGACTTCCAGTCCCCGCCGATTGTGTGAGTGTCAACTGAGAGAGCCCGTGAGGGAGGCGGTAGTGAGGGAGGCGGTCTCCTACCTCCTCCACCTCAAGAGCTCAGCTCTCCCAGTCATAGGCAGACCTGGGTTTAATGTGTCCACAGAGAGCTTCGGGAGAAGATCCAGCCCGAGATCCTAGAACTGATCAAGCAACAACGCCTGAACCGGCTGTGTGAGGGCAGCAGCTTCCGGAAAATCGGGAACCGCCGTCGGCAAGGTAAGGGGGCAGCTGGAGCATCGGGAGTCTGCCTGGGCTGCTTGCCTGGGGACCTGGCTCTGTATGGTGCCCTGTGCCCTGCCCTGCCTGTGCCTCACCTGCTCGCCCTCCTTGTTTTCCAGAGAGGTTCTGGCACTGCCGCTTGGCGCTGAACCATAAGGTTTTGCATTATGGTGACTTGGATGACAACCCTCAAGGGGAGGTGACATTCGAATCCCTGCAGGAGAAAAGTAGGTGCATGTCTCCATTGATGTGTCAACAAGTGTCCCGAGTGCTGGCCCAGGCCTGGCCCTCAAGCCCAGTGTCTGGTCTCAGACATGCATCCTTTGTCTCCTTGACTGCTAACGATCCTCTCTCTGGCCCACCTTAAGGTGGTTGGGAGAGTTCCTGAGATGCCTGTGGTGCCTGTGTGTCAGGGAGGGCAGGACAAGACTCCATTGAAAGGCAGTGGGTAGAGGCTCTAAAGCTACAGCCTGAATGAAACCCTAGCTTAGCCCCTAGTTAGTGGCAAAGGCTGGATGTTGTGAACTAATCCTCACTTGCTTTCATATCTGGTACAATGGGCTTAACACCGTACTTCCATCCATTGAGAACTCACACATTCCCACGGGGCTAGCAGGTGGAAGCTTGGTTGTTAGCTGGGATGCTGCTTGCTTTGGCCTCTTTGTCACCTTTACCATGGAAAGGAGAAGAGGACGGGTGCCCAAGGCTCCACTCCCTGAAGAACCCAAGTAGCACCCATGAGCTTTGACGAAGCCAGGGTTTACGGAGGAGCAGGGCAGGCTAACACATGCACACCTCCCTGACCTGGGAGGGCCCTCGGGGCTGAGAGCTGTCACAGCCTGGTACTCTCCCCTGGGCTTCCTTTCCAGCACTGAGGAGTGCTGACCAGCTTGGAACAGCAGCTTCCAGATGGTAATTCCCATTGTCTCTCAGTTCCTGTTGCAGACATTAAGGCCATCGTCACTGGGAAAGACTGTCCTCACATGAAAGAGAAGAGTGCCCTGAAGCAGAACAAGGTGAGAGGCAGGTGGGGCTGCAGACATGGTTCTGGGTGAGGCTGAGCACCCACTCCTGTCCATGGCAGCTGCAGACATGGTTCTGGGTGAGGCAGGTGAGGCAGAGCCCCCACTCCTGTCCATGGCAGCTGCAGACATGGTTCTGGGTGAGGCAGGTGAGGCAGAGCCCCCACTCCTGTCCATGGCAGCTGCAGACATGGTTCTGGGTGAGGCAGGCGAGGCAGAGCCCCCACTCCTGTCCATGGCAGCTGCAGACATGGTTCTGGGTGGACAGGCTCTTTCCCACTTTAAATTATACAGCCAACATTAAGAGCATTGAACACTGTAAGAATAAATAGATCCCAATGCACACCTCACCAGCCTCAGCAACCCTGGCAAGTTCTGCTGCCCATTCCTCCTTATGATGTAGGGAGACCCCAAGTGGTACACCATTTCGTTCATGAGTATCTCCTGTACGTCTCTGAAGGATACAGTCATAGACTCCCATTAGCATACCTAGCAGAAGATAAAAGACCATTATTTAATAGGAAATACTTCATTCACTTTGAAACATCCTCCTGCTGTCTTATAAATGTTACATGTACACACATGCACACATCGTGCCCGGTTTGGAATCCGTTCCGGCAGGTGTGCCTGCCGCAGTGTGTGTGTCTGAGTCCTTCATTCATGCCCTTCCCCTGCACCCTCTTCCCACCTGCACTTTCTCTGTGTAACAGACCATGTTGCTTATGTGCTCATTTCCCAGAGTCTCAGCTTTGCTGACTGGGTCGCCATGCATTTCTTCTGTCCCAGATCTGCAAATTAGCACAGGGACCTAGAGGTTTGATTTGGTTTAGGTTTGACTTTGCCCTGTCTTGGCCATATCCTCCGTGCTCCTGGGGCCTATGCAGAGGCCCGTGATGGCCGGGTGGTGCTCTGCCGCGTCCACAGACTCCAGTGCTCAGGGCGAAGCCTTGTACACGAGGGTATTCCGTTTACTGATGAGCTAAGCCACTTCTCCGTGAAGAAACCTGTCTTTATCTACTGTTGGCTTCCTGTGGTACAGTTGATGGAACAAGAGAGGCCAAAGGCTTGAGTCCCCTTTCGGGCACCTCCTTCTAAAGCAGTGAGCTGGTTCCTAGCATTACATAGTCATGACCAAGTTTTATGTCTCCGTTGTATGATTTTTTAGTGTTCTATGAACACATGAGTTTAAGCCGGTCACGTGTGACTCTGGTTGCGTGTGTGTAAGCCAGTCACATGTGACTCTGTGAGCACATGGGTGTAAGCCGGTCATGTGTGACTCTGTATTGTAATTATTCTTTTTTGATGCTCAGGCTGTCTCAGCTCATCAGGGGTTTGTTTTTGCTGGAGGGTTTTTTTTTTTTAAGGACTTTTTTGTGACTGAGTTCAGCACCATAGAAAGAGGATACCAGTCATGTTGAGATCTAAGATAAACATAGGGTGGTACATGGTCCTGACATTCAGTGTTCTGAGTGTTGAAAATACTTTGCTGCAATAAGTTTTGTTGGTTGCTTTCTGGGGAAGGGTGGGTCTCCCCGTGTAGCTTTCACTCATCCTCAACCTCTCGATTGCTGGGATCCAGGCAGGCATCACTACCTACCACCACATCCTCGGTGTGACTGTGGCGGGGGCGGGGGCGGGGGTGGTGAGCTAAGGTCGGTTGACACTGGGCTCAGGTCCAGCCACACCTGGATGCATGCCTAGGGACCTTGGTGACATCATAACCAGTCACTGCTCCAACTCACTCCAACTCTTTGTCTGTAGGAGGTTTTGGAATTGGCTTTCTCCATCCTATACGATCCTGATGAGACACTGAATTTCATTGCTCCTAATAAGTATGAGGTAAGTGTTGTGCCACACTGCCCTGAACACCAGTTCCCTCACTGTGGCTCTTCAGTTGGAGAGGAGGTGTGGTGAGCACAGCAGTCTCCCCCAGAAGCCAGATGGCCAAAGTGGATACCGTGTGTGTGTGTGTGTGTGTGTGTGTGTGTGTGTGTGTGTGTGTGTATAATATGTAGACCAGGCTGGCCTTGAACTCACAGAGGACTGGGATTAAAAGTTCGCACACACCCAGCCTTTCACTTTGTGTCTTAGGAGCAGCTAGCCTGGCATGAGGAGGGTTTTCCTCTATGTAATCTCGCAATCACTTTTCCCAGGTGAGCTGAATCTCAGTTACATGGAGCTGACCTAGTCAGTCAGGCTATGGAGCCGACCTGCTCAGGCTGTGGAGCTGACCTAGTCAGTCAGGCTATGGAGCCGACCTGGTCAGGCTGTGGAGCCGGATGGGTCTGCTCCTCCTACCAAGGGACTCCTAGTTCACCCGTAGCCCAGGAAGATGTCAGTGCCCAACTCAGTCGACTCGTGGTTAATTGAGGGGCTATTGTTGAACACTTGGGGTCAAGCTTCAAGAGAAGCGGACCTTGGGCCACTAGGGCTTTGTTGGACGACAGCACAGTGAACAAGGCTCAGACAGAGGGGAGCAGCAGAGGGCTGGGGCGGAGCTTCTGCTATACCCTCGCGTTCTGAGCATCTGCTCAAGTTTGTCTGAGACAAGGTCTCATGTAACCTGGAGCCAATCACAAACTTACTGTAGCTTAGGCTAGCCTTGAACCCCTGATCCTCCTACCTCTGTAACCTAAGTGCTCGGATGTTATAAGCATGTTCCATCACACGTGCTATGTTGGTTTTTTTTGTATTTCCCTTTAAAACATGTTTTAACATTAACGGAGTTTTCTTCTTTAACCAAATTGCAACCCTGAGTCCCTGTGTGCTTCCTGCTCATTTCATTGAGTGTGTGTGTCCATTGAGTGTGTTCATTGAATATGTGTCCATTGAGTGTGTTCATTGTGTGTATTCATTGAGTGTGTGTGTCCATTGAGTGTGTGTGTTCATTGAATATG